TATATCTAATTATCTTTATAAATAAATATATTTAATTATCAGCAATTTGGTTTTATCTCTCTAGAGAACCCTGTCTAACACACTAGGTATTGGCTTAAAACACCTTATGAATCAATACTTTTTAAAAGGTGAAAGGAGACAGAGACACCAACAATACACTTAAAAACAGTCCACATATTAAAAAAAAAAAAAACCACTGGTACGCCCTTACCACCATAAAATCGAATCATACAGCCAAGGTCAGGATTGGTGGCCTCCTCCTGCACACGTACAGGGTCTTCAAAGCCCAGTCTGGACAAGTAATCATAAACAATCTGAAGAGGTTGCTCAGTAGGTTCAAGTCTCCTGTTGATACAATTCAAAAGAAAAACATTTGGTAAAGTATTAAACATGCTTCCTTAGTAAAAATCTTTTGGTACAATCTTGATTTTTATTTCTATATCAAGATTTTCTGTAATACATCATATGATATAACTAGAACAGATTAACAAGTGGTTTTCACATTTTTATGGACTTAGAATCTCTTCATATTGTTTGAAAATCCCAAAGAGCTTCTGTCTATGTGGACTTTATTGATAACTATTAAATTAGAAACTAAAGTTAAGAATTTCTAAAAATCTGCTTACCTATTTAAAAGCAACAAGCCCATTAGGCTAGCACAGATAACATTTTTTGAAAAGTATATTTTCTAAAATGAAATATTTGAATTGGGAAAATGTGCTGCAAAGATCTCTATAAAGTATTACCAAAAAAAGGCAAGATGTCACTTTGAAGACTAAAGTGCAACTGACTCCAGCCATTTATTTTCAACCATCTCATATGCATGTGAAAGCTGAGAAATGAATAAGGAGGAATGAAGTGGAACTGATGCTTCTGAATTATGGTACTGAGGGGCAAAAGCTGGACATAAACTACCAGAAGAATGAACAAATGTGTCCTCGAAGAAGTGCTGCCACATTCTTCCTTAGAAATGGAGATTTGCGTCCTCCCTCCGACTATCATGACCCCAATTCTACCTTACAAATCCAGCTAGACCAGAGTATGTTACACTGGTACAGATAAGAGCTTGAAACACAGGAAATTCAGGACAGATAAACCCCTCAGGACCAATAATGAGGGTAGTGATACCAGGAGGGAAGGGAAAGGTGGGGAACGTGAGGGGGAACTGATCACAATGATTTACATATAACCCCCTCTTCCCAGGGGGACGGACAACAGAAAAGTGAGTGAAGGGAAACATCGGTCAGTGTACGACATGAAAAAATAATAATAATTTATAAATTATCAAGGGTTCATGAGGAAGGGAGGGCGGGAGAGGGAATGGGGTAAATGAGCTGATACCAATGGCTCAAGTAGAAAGAAAATGTTTTGAAAATGATGATGGCAACATATGTACAAATGTCCTTGACACAATATGGATGAATGTATGGATTGTGATAAGAGCTGTACAAGCTCCCATTAAAATGATTTTTTTTTAATGGAGAGAATTAGACTTGCAAGCTTTGGACATGTTATCAGAAGGGAATCAATCCCTGGAGAAGGACATTGTGCTTGATAAAGTAAACCAAAACCCCAGCCAAACCCATAGTCATCAAGTTCATTCCAACTCCTAGTGACCCTATGGGACAGAGTAAACCTGCCGCTTTGGGTTTCTGAGACTTTAAAATCTTTACAGAAGCGCAAAGCCTCATCTTTTCCCTGCAGAGCAGCTGGTGAGTTTGAACTTCTGAAGCTTGTGGTTAGAAGCACAATGCAGAGCCCACTACACCACCAGGGTTCCTTTGGTAAAGTAAAGTAAAAGATTAATGAAAAAGAAGTTCCTGAATGAAACAGAGTGATGTAGTTGCTGCAAAATGGGTCCAAAAGTTCAATGACTGTGAGGATGGCACAGGACTAAGTCTTGTTTTGTGCATGTTGTACATAATGTTGCACTGAATTGGAAAAGACTCAACCATACTGTGGTAGTCACATAATCTGCTGTCAATTTGAGGAATAAGAGTGTAGGGATGGAGTCTAGCCTGTCAATCAGGATATAGACCAGGGGTCCTCAAACTTTTTAAACAGGGGGCCAGTTCACTGTCCCTCAGACCTGTTGGAGGGCCAGATTATAGTTTAAAAAAAAAAACTATGAACAAATTCCTATGCACACTGAACATATCTTATTTTGAAGTACAAAACAAAACCAGGCAAAAACACCGGGCGGGCTGGATAAATGTCCTCGGAGGGCCATAGTTTGAGGACACCTAATATAGACAATGAGGCCTTTGTGTGGGCATGGCCTTCTCCTGTGGATTCTGGGAACCCCTGTATTCCTGCTTGGAGGCCGGAGACACTCTGCTGACTTCCTGGGAGACATTTTGCAAATGACAAGACACAAAGAAGCTAGAGAAGCCACATGGAGACCACTGCCAGCGCTGAGATGCTTACAACACCACTGGATCCACAAGACATCCCACCCACTGGCTGTGATCATCCTGTATTTGGTGTCATGCCATGTGTTTTGTGAGTCTGAAGAGGACTTTATAGATTGGTCCAGACATATGGTCTAATATCGGACTTATAGACTCGATCTGGACTGGGCTGGGATGTGTTCTCAATATTCAATTACTCTTGTGTATAAAGCTCCTTCTTATACACATGAGTGTCTCTATGAATTTCTTTCTCTGGTCTACTCAGGGTAACACACATGCCCAACAACAAAATATTTAGAAAGTGAACAATATAAATAAGATTGTCTAAAATAAAGGGCTCCAAATGTTATATTGCCTGGGTTTGAGTCTCCATTTTGCCACTTATCATCTGCATGCCTCTGAAAGTTATTTAACCTCATCTTACATTCCTCAGCAGTATAACAGGAAAACAATAGGGCCTAACTCAAAGGTTGATATCATGTTTGTTCATTTAAGCAAGACAAGATTTATTATACAAATTACTTAGCAAAATACATAGTGTTAAAAAATTATTCAAAAAATGTCAAGGCTGGAATCAAATTTTAAATAGAATAAAATTGTAGTATTTGCTCCTCTAAAACCAATACGATCAAAAACAGTAAAGAAATGCCTGAGCATGTTCAAAAGGCATTCTTTATGTCTTAAAAAGGTTCTGTTCAGAACACTTGAGAATTATTTTGACTTGAGAAAATATTACATACAGCTCTCATTATGGCAAAAAGATAGAACATCTGTGGTTTGTGGTTAGAGAATTGGAAAATGTTGGCAATAAGACTTAAGTGGAAAATAACATGAATGGGAACACTGCATGGCTGAATATAAACAACTGCATCAAAGAGGTATTTTAAGAGGATAATTTAGGAGGGGAAATCATATTGTTGAGGGAAAAAAAAACAAAAATTGAAACCATCACCTTGGCATCTTCTATTTAATTAAATCTTTTAGCTTCCATAAATTATGACAAAAAATTGTAATATAGGGAATGGGCAAAGAATTAAAGGCCTACAATGATGAATAAAGGCTGAATTTAATAAAAATTGAAAGCATTTCAGAATAAAAATAGTAGTTACCATTAATTCTCAGCCAAATAAAGCCAAGATTCACAAAGGTTTATAACAATACTAGCATATTTTGGTACAATTCTAATATAGCTGCACTGTAAAAGGGATTTCTGAGAAACTACACCCTGGAGAAGTCAACTAACCATGTAATATGAAGAATGACTGATAGTTTAACTAGTTAAAAATGTCTGCATTGAGAATTGTGCTCTTGTAAGAACCATCTATCGGTTAATATACAGTTCGAAAAGAGCACAAAAGAATACTTAAAAATGTTGACAAGTAAACATGTTACTTAGAGGACTAAAATATATTAACTCAAGCCATGGTATTTTAACTGCCTCATATGCATGTGAAAGTTGGACATCATATAAAGAAGGCCAAAGAAGAGTTGATATATTTAAATTTTGGTGCTAGAGAAGACTATTGAAAGTACCAAAAGAACAAACAAATCTGTCTTGGAAGAAGTACAGCCAAAATGCTCCTTAGAAGAATATGCTTTGCAATTGATGTATGTATAGATGTGATAAGAGATGTATGAGCCCCTAATAAAATGATTTAAAAAAAGAAGAAGAAGAATGTGCTTTGGACATGTTGTCAGAAGAGATTGGTCCCTGGAGAAAAACATCATGCTTAGTAGAAGAGCAGAGAAAAAGAGGAAGGCCTTTCACAAGATGGAATGACCCAGCGGTTGCTCAAACATAAGAATTGTGAGAATGGCACAGGGCTGGGTAGTGTTAATTCTGTTGTACACAAGGTCACTATGAGTCGGAACTGACTCCATGGCACCAAACAACAATAACAACAAAGACATATTTCTCAATGTAAACATTTTTTACTAGTTAAGATATCAACCATTCTTCATATTATATGGTTAGTTGACCTCTTCAGGATGTACTTCCTCAGAAATCTCTTTTACAATGAGGGCATCCTTCTTAAAAGAATTGTATTGTTTTACCAAGATATAGGCGCCCTGTTGGCATAGCAGATTACACATGTACTCACTCACTCATTCACACTCACTCACTGCCATTGAGTTGATTCTGACTCAGAGGCACCGTATAGGCAGGACAACATAGAAATGCTCCTGTAGGTTCCCAAGACTGTACCTCTTCAAGGAGTAGAAAGCCTTCTTCTTTCTCCCATGGAGCTACTGGTGGTTTCAAACTACTGAACTGGCAGCAGCTCAAAGCTCACCACTAAGCCATCAGGGTCCCTTTATGAGCTGCTAGCCACAAGATCAGTGGTTCAAACCCACCAGCAGCTCCAGGGGAGAAAGACGAGGGTGTGTCTATTTCCATAAAGATTTAAAGCCTTGGAAATCCAAAACTCTGTCCTAAAGAGTAACTTTGAGTCAATGGCAACAAGTTTGGTTTGGGATTAAACTAACAACAGCAACTGGAAAGATTACATAGGAAATTTAGGGGGCCTGAAATTATGTTAATGTGGGAGGAACAATTCAGAAAACTAGGGTGACAATGACTGTACACCTCAAAGAATGTCATCAATGTCAATGGGTTGTGCATGTAGAAATTGTTGAACTAGTATGTATTCTACTATATATGCTATGAACAATAACATAAAATAAATTATATAAACAAGAGAGCTTCCAAAAGTTCATGGAAAAAATAATAAAAAATAATAGATTATCCCGGCCCTCATGCAAACTTTTGTAAGTTCCTCATATTTCACATGATTGAATGAGGATCAGCTTGAAGAGAATAAGGGGATACTTACAGAGCTATCTATCTTCAGAAGTCAAAAAGGATTAGCTTTATTCTGTATTGCTCCAAGAGGCAAAGCCGGATGGCTTTGTGGTTCCATGTTGAATTGATAA